GAAGTCATGTTCATCTTCTATTGCAAATAAGCCAACAGTTTAAAACTTGAGCACTAGGAATTGTGTTGTTCAGGTGTCTTCATTTCTTATCCTAATTTGTAAGAATGGTGAGAAGTCATGTTCATCTTCTATTGCAAATAAGCCAACAGTTTAAAACTTGAACACTAGGAATTGTGTTGTTCAGGTGTCTTCATTTCTTTTCCTAGTTTGTAAGAAGAGTGTGAGTCTGTCACTTCTTTCAGTCTCCATTGTCGTTTTCAGCGCAGCTCTTTAGTTCTTTGCCACTTTCTCACCAGTCATTGCTGTTTGTCTCTGCCAGGCTCCGCAGCACTTTCCCCCCGTCATGGTCCTTCCCAGTCTGTCACCTGTGGTAATCAGATGCAGGTCATCTGTTTACTTGAGCCTTTGTGAGCCTGCCACTGCTTTAGGCACTGAGTAGGTGCACCAAGCAAGTCCTTGCCCTCATAGAAATGACACACGAGTGAGGAAGACAGTACATAATAGTGTATGTAATAAATAAAGCAAGTAGAATGAGAGGAGCAAGGAACAAGTTTTAGCTGTTTTTATGCCAGCTGCCTCCCAGCATAGCTCCACTTTGACTCTTACTCCGTGCAAGTCACTCAGTCATGTCTGACTCTTTGCAACGCCATGAACTATACAGTCGATGGAATTCTCCAGGCCAGAATACTGGAGTGGGTAGACATTCCCTTCTCCAGTGGATCTTCCCAACCCAGGGGTTGAACCCACGTCTCCCACATTGTAGGCAGATTCTTTACCAGCTGAGCCACCAAGGAAGCCCATGAATACTGGAGTGGGTAGCCTATCCCTTCTCCTGCAGATCTTCCTGACCCAGGAATGGAACCAGGGTCTTCTGCATTGCAGGTGGATTCTTTACCAACTGAGCTACTGGCAAAGCCCCGAATCTCTCAGGATGCCTCCATTCTAATAAATGGTTCCGCATCCCTTCATCCCACTCCTGTCCTTTCACCTGTCTGGCTCTATTGAACTGATTTGTGGTTGCATTACCTACAGTCCACCAGGGGCTCCTTATTTTCTTTTTTTTTTTGCACCTCCATTTATTTAAAAGTGCTGGATTAGATTTTTAAGGTCTCTTTTTGTTTGAAAGTTCTATTTAAATTTCTCATAATTTATGATTGCTGACATTAAATATAATTATGAAAGTCTGAGTATGGCATAAGAAAACAATTTTTAGTTATCTGGAATATAATAAGAGAAAGCCTTTGAATATTTGGGTGTACCTTGCAAATATGAGAAATAATTTTGAATAATGCTTTACCAATTTAGGGGCTCCTTATTTTCACAGTCCCCTTCCAGTTTGACTTTTCTATCCCATTTTACCAGCCATTTCACCTATGCTCACGAGTATCCTGACTTACCGTCTTGTATAGAAGATCCCCAGGAGTAGGAAATGACAACTTGCTCCAGTATTCTTGCCTGGAAAATCCCATGGTCAGAGGAACCTAGTGGGTTATAATCCATAGGGTCGCAGAGAGTCGGTCACAACGGAGCATCTGAGCACTCACACACATTGAATAGGGGGGAAAAAAGCCTCACAAACTGACATTTAATACCTGAAAAACCATTAATGAGTTGATGAAAATTCTTTAAATCATCATTGATAGATCTATTGAACGAATTGTATTCTTTTCTAATTCATTTTTTCTTCTTAGGTAATACGAGGAAATAGTATCATCATGTTAGAAGCCTTGGAACGAGTATGAACAACATCTTTGTTCATCAGAGAAATCAACTGCTTCCGTGTGTCCCCTTCTCCACATTTTACTACCAGAAAAATTGGGTTGTGTACTTTTTCTTACTGAACTTTTTTGTTAAATAAACTTTTGTAATAGCCAAAAATGCTTTCTTAACTGTTCTCAACTTAGAATATTTGCTCTTATTCTGATTTTTTTCTGTCATGACCTGTTATTGGTTGAGACTGATTAGTTCAGAGGTTTTTAATGCATTAAAATAGAAAAATCTTAGTAAATATGAAACATTGGCAAGATGCCCTTTTTCCCTGTCTTTTACTACTGAACAAAGTTAAAGAAGCTGCAAACCTGAGTGGGTTTCTTCTAAAACATAACTGAAATTTTTAAAGTTCTTGCAGTAACTTGGACAGACTCTGACTTTTTCACATACATCTACATTCCAAGTAGTTTCACTCAAACAACATGGATTAAACTGTGCAGGTCCACTTATATACGGGTTTTTTCCAATAGTAAATACTACAGTACTACACCATCCATTGTTGAATCTATGGATTCCAAACTGAGTACAGGAACTGTATATGCAGAGACCTGATTGCTCAAAGGGTCAGCATCCATAACCCCCACAATGTTTTAAGAGTCAACTATATAGTACAACAGAAGTAAAACACAGCAAGTAATGATGTCATTGTTTTTATTTTGAACATAAGTGGGAAAAAATGTTGAATACAAGAGTAGAAATACAATTCCAGAGGAAAACATTCCAGTGCATTGTGGTTCTTTGTGGGGTAGAAGATGGTGATAATGCTGCCCGTAATATACTCACCTAGTTTGTAATTTTATGGTGCACAAACTCCAATAAGAGATAATATTACAGACATGTATCATAAACCTAACTTTAAAAAAATCTATCAAGCAAATGCTTAAGTTTATTTTTGTGATCTGGTAGAAAGCCTACAAATCATGAGTCACTTTAAAACTAGAGTAGGATATACACAGTATGTGAGGTACTTGTAAACAAGTATGTAAAATGGTATTCCCTATTTATAGGAAATGTTTACAGAAAAAATACAGCTAGAGGGATCAAACTAGAGTTGATGTGAAGGCCATACATTTTTATTTTTCCATTCTCCCCTTTAAACCTTCCCTAACATTGCAACCACATAAAGCTGAATTTAGGACTGGTAGAATTTCTAAGTGTGGCTCCTACCCGGCAGCATCACGTAGGAACATAACAGAAATGCAGTCTTTTGTATGCTACTCCATACATACTGCAACATTTCAAGGGGTGAGGCCAGCCATGTTTTAACAAGCCTTCCAGTAACACTGAAGCAGAACTTGGCCTTCCTTCAGCCTGTGCATACTCTTTACCAGTCTCTTCTGTAAAAATTTCACTTGAGTAGCCTCCTGGAATAATGGGCCCTGACAGGTCTTTCTTCCAATTAAGTCTTTTTGAATTCTGTTAGTTGCATTAAAATTAATATGCTTACTATATGGATAACCTTTTTGCTCTTTAACAACTTCAGATGCCTCGTTGGAAAACAGAGTTGGGTTTGATACAACAGCAATATTTAAAACTGGTGTTCTAAAAATAATTTGCCATTGCAAAACAAGTCTGCAGACATTGGAAATTATTCCACTAGAATTCACCCACTTTTAGCATATACACAACAGTGCTATACTCTACATACTATCTTCTTTAAAACCACAAAAGGAAAACAGTACAAATGCCTCTTAACATACTTGTTAAGAATAAAAATAGTAAAAAGCTAATTCTGACAAACTGTAAATTTAATTCCTGCCTCTATATCAAATATCTTGGCAGTTTTATCAGCATATTAATATTCACAAATGTAGAGAATAAATTGCTTTAAGAATCAATGTTCTCCTTTTTGCTCAAAGGAGCAACTGCTACCATCTGGAGGAGGACTTTTTCAAAAAGACAATATATGTTAACTTGGTTGCAGTTCAGTTACTTTTAGAATTCAGAAGTTTCTACTTGTTTTGTCCTTCCAAGATAAGGACACTCATGATCTCTGTACAGGTGGAGAACCGGGTCTCGAGTTTGGCTACATCCTGGAATCATTTCAGAAGCAGTCCTACAGGTGATTACAACGCACAGCCGAACCACCGCCTCAAAACAAGATTTCAACAACCAATTTCTCAATCAGAATGCTATAGTACCTTCAGAAGCATTTAACAGTTTGAACATAAACTGGATCTGATCAAGTGTGGGGTCACTGAATATATTCTAGTGCCAGAGGCTCTAGAATCATCTAAGTTGCCTCTGCTGTGAAACTTGATGCTTCTTACTACCAAGACTACTAGAGTTCTCACTGAGAGAAATCCTTTGCAACATGGATTTGCTTTGATAATGGATTGGGTTTCTTGGGACTTTTAAGGCACTAAAAACCCTTTGAAAACATCATAAACCCCCACATCAGTGACTAAACCCCAGTTGTCCATTAGGAACTCTAAATAAAAAGCTACAAAAAGCTGAGGTCCTATCCTCAGTCCATTAAACCAATCTCTGTTGTGGGGCTCTGTCACCATTTTTCAAAGCTCCTCAGGTGAGGGTTTGATAATAGAAGACAAATTTAAGAAATTTAAATCAGTAGCCTATACTTGCTTTTCATTTTACTTGAGATTTTTGTGTGACATCTTTATACTACACTAAGACTTCTGAACTTCACCCCTAATGAAATAGAAGCAATCAAAAGAACATTCTGAAAATCAAGGCTTTAAGCATGGGCATATGTCATTTGCAAAATATAAGTTAACTATAGCCAGGCATAAGATACCAGTTCCCATGGTTATTTTACCTGACTGAAGATCACATCCAACCGTGAAGCGCAAATGAACTAGTCCTGAACTAAAAGGAAGTCTTCCTCAAGGGGTCAGCTTAAAATGCTTTAAAGTTTCATTCAAAATCCAGGGCCCCATCCCAGACCTATTAAATCAGAACCTCCAGAGGAGCTAGAGAATTCATATGTCTAACAAACTCCAGATGATTCTTATGATCAGACAAGTTTGAGAAATGCTGCTGATGGATATTCAAGAAAGAGTTCGATTTTGGAGATGCAATAGTTTTACCTTCATGCTTAATTAGAACCTTGCATTTCTCATGACTCACTGGGATTACTTTTGTTAAATGATGATAATGGCAAAATATCTGATTCAAAATCATCTCTGTTCAGACTATGTTGTTTTTTTTTTTTTTGCCAGTGATATTCCATTTGGAACCAGGAGGGGGATAAAAGAGAGAGTGGTATTTCATAGTTCCGTTTTAAGTCTCTCATATAAGTCCTCTTGGTCAATCATGTGTGTGTTCCCATTCCAGCGGTGATAGGCAAGGAGAGCAGCATTGTAGCCTGCAATGGCACTCATTTCCATGGCACTTGCTGCAAACTCTATGCCGTTGAGGTAATAAAGTCGATCATGAAGTATGATGGAGGGGCATTTCTCTGGAGGCGTATAATGAGGGTATGCAAGCCATGACTGCTTCACAGCATAATCGTAGGACACAAAGAGCTTTAAAATTTGTTCTTTACTAAGTGGTGCTGCAGAAAAGATCTTCCAAACATGTGCTATATCTGCTTTTGGCTGAGGATTACTGTCTTCTACAGGGGACACAAGCCCAATGCTGTTAATGAATAAATCTGGATTATCAGTGGTTAAGACTGTACCAAGATGAAACTCATTTAAGGCTCTAGAGCTAAAGACAGTTGAATTCAACTCCCCTTTAATTAAAGTTGTCACTAAAGGTTCATAGTGTTGATGGAATTCCTCAATTGGAGGATCGAAGTTGAGAAAATTTATGTTGGACATTTTCCGATTCAATGGAGTGGCCACCAGGACAATATCATAGAAGTCTGAATGGGTCTCAGATCCAGTTTGGTAGACCACTTCATACACCTTTGAGGGATTTCCTAGAGGAAATAAAAAAGCATATATTTTTTTAAGTGTTTCTAACATACTATATTTTATACCTTCTAAAAACAATTCTATACCTTAATAGTTTCTCCATGATTCTAAGGACTTAAACAAGTTTTATCCCTTAAGATAACTGGCCCCTGCATTTGTATTACACTGAGGCCAATTTTCTACTTGGAATGGAAATAAAACCTGTCAACAGGTACAAAATACGAAATGTTTACTTTTGAGGGTGAATTTCTTTTTTAAATCCAAAGAGTCATGCCACTGGACTTGAGCACATGTGTATCTATTTCCGCATGACACACAACACTTAACCTCCAATTTAAAATTTCATCATCTGGAACTGAGCGAGAGCTGGAGAAACAGGCTTTTCTCCCTGACAGCTATTTTCTGCAGGGGAAATCAGGAACAATAAAAGAGAAGTTCAAGCTTACCCGTCTGCTTGGTCCTTGTTTTCTCCTCTATGGACATTACTAAGCCTGAGACAAGGTTGCTTCTGGAAGCCTGAAGGAGTCTTGAGCAAACAAGTTTATTGCCACCTTTTACTGCCCAAAGGCCAGGATCAGTACAGGACATCGACACTGCCCCTGTCAGCAGTAGGACGAAATGCGTTAATTCTGACTCTGTAAGAGGCCCTCTACCCTCTCTCCCTTCCCACGCAGCTGCATCTGGCTCCAAATCTAGACACTGCCAAATGACCCTCAGAGCAAAGTTTCCCCCAGTTGAGGACCATTCAACTAATAAAAACCAGACTCTGTTCCCATAAAAATGCTCATCTACACATGCACAATGCTGCCAAGATTTTCATTGTGTCTGAGGTTTCACAAAGGAAGGTAGTCATCTCCAAATCATGGCCTAAAGTAAGGAGCCACCAAAGCATCAGGTAAACCGCACTGTCAACTAACGTCCGTGAACTATTCCAAGCCCTGACTTACCTACAAAGCCGTTGATGTTTGTAGTTTGGCCATAATTTACCCTCATGACAGGAGTAATAACTTCATCAAGGAACTTCTCAGAGAAGCCTGCTTTCTGCAAGGTTTCAAGAAGTGACCGGTTAAATAATCCAAGATAGTCGTCCCCTCCTAGGGAATGCAGTAACTTTTCTACGCTACTGAAGGCATAGTCATGAGACTGGTAGCGGTAGATCCTTTTGAATAGAAGAGAAATGGCCATTAAACACCAGATAGTGAGGAGGGTACAAACAAAGAAGTAAAACAGCACCCTAAGACTCCAAGTGGCTTTCCTGTTTCCTTTGGACGAGTCCCTACCAATCCTGTGAGCTGCGTCTTCCCCATGTATCCCAGAGACTCCTGGCCTCCCTTTCCCTCTATCTCCTCTGAAGGAAGTCCACTGTCCTTTGAATTCACTCTTCTGCATGAATATGTTCACTGGGATCACCTTTCAGGAAGTGGGTATGTCTTGTTCTCATTCATCTTCCAGCACACTTAGACGTGTCTAAAATAAAACTTTACCTTTCCACTAAGCTCGATCCTCTCCTCCTACCCCAACTTTCAACCAAAACAATGGGTTACTCCTAATATCCTACACATCATCCTCAGTTCATTTAGTTTTAAATTTAAACATTTCATTTCTGGGGGAGAAGCCAAAATGACAGAGGAATAGAATGGGGAGACCATTTTCTCCCCTACAAATTCATTGAAAGAACATTTGAATGCTGAGCAAACTTCACAAAACAACTTCTGACCGCTAGCAGAAGACATCAGGCGCCCAGAAAAGCAGCCCATCGTTTTCGAAAGGAGGTAGAACAAAATATAAAAGATAAACAGAGACAAAAGAGCTAGGGACCTAACTGGGAGGAAAAATAAATAAAACTCACAGATTACATGCCTAAAAGCAACTCCCAGCAGAAAAGTACCCCAGATGCCCGTATCCGCCACCAGCAAGTGGGAGCGGAAGGGAGAGGAGCAGGCGGGCGGCATTGCTTAGGGCAAGAACCGGGCCTGAATGCCCTGAGGGCAATCGGAGGGAGCTAATGTGAGATAGCAACTTAAACTGTGGGATAGCAAGAGAGAGGGAGAAAATTAATGGGCCGAACACACTGCCGGCCATTTGCAGAACAAAGGGACTGAGCACTTCCAGAGAAGAGCTAGCTGGCTGCAGACCGGCCCATCCCTGCCGGAGGCAGGAGGCAGGGGGAAGGGGAAAGGGGCAAACTTGGCCCCAGAGACCGCATCCCCTACCAAACTGCAAACAGGCCTCCAGTTTCTAACCAAAGACTTCCTGAGATTCTGGATGGTCGACATCCGCCGGGAGGGTCGCGGCTAGAGGCCAACTCCCAAGAATAGACACAAGCAGCACGCACCGGACTGGCGCACGAGGAAACTGAGGCTGGGACCGCAGAGGGGAGAAGGCGCACCGCACCCGGGGAGAGTGCGCCCGTCAAGCTCCTTGCTGCCTGAGTTGCTCCGGCCGGGGAAGGCACAAAACGCAGGCCCAACCGAGTCTGCGCTTTTGTGGAGTACCCGAAAACTGGAACCGCACGCAACGCAGGGCCCGCTCCATACAGAGCAGCCGGGAGCCTGAGCAGTGTAGACGGGGAGAGCACAGACCCGTGAGCGGGGCAAACCCAGTGTGGCCGAAACACTGCGAGTGCTCCCCACACACAGTGATATCTGTCTGCAGCGCCCCTCCCTCCCCACAGCACGACTGAACCAGCGAACCTAAACAAGAGACCACCTCCGCCCGCCTGTGTCAGGGTGGAAATTAGACACTGAAGAGACCGGCAAACAGAAGCCAAATAAACAAAGGGAACCGCTTCAGAAGGGACCAGTGCAACAGATTAAAATCCCTGTAGGTAACACCAACTACACCAGAAGGGGCCTATAGATATCGAGAAGTGTAAGCTGGAACAAGGAGCTGTCTGAAACTGAACCGAACCCACACTGACCACAACAGCTCCAGAGAAATTCCTCGATATATTTTTACCTTTTTTTTTCTCTTTTCTTTTTACTCTTTTATTTTCTTTTAAAATTCCCTATTACTCCCCCACTACTCCTTAACTTTCATTTTCATATATTTTTACTATTTTTTTAATTAGGAAAAGAATTTTTCCCGTTTTACTTTTTTCTCTTATTTTCTTTTAAAATGCTCTATTACTCCTTAATTTTCATTTTCATTTCACTATAACCTTGCAAAAAAAATAAAGGAGAAGCCATATTTTTAAACCAAACTTCATATATATTTCTAAAATTTTTTGTGGTTTTGTTTTTGTTTTTAATATTGTATTTTTAAGAGTCTAACCTCTACTCTAGATTTTTAATCTTTGTTTTTCAGTACTTGATATCAATTTTGGACATTTAAGAATCCAATATTCAGTACCCATTTTTACTCAGGAGTGTGTTGATTACTCTCTCCCACTTTTGACTCTCCATGTTCTACCTCAGAACACCTCTATTTCCTCCCTTCCCCTTCTCTTCCCAATCCAATCCTGTGAATCTCTGTGGGTGTCTGAGCTATGGAGAACACTTTGGGAACAGAGAACTGCGTAGCTCTGTCTGTCTCCTCTTGAGTCCCCCTTTTCTCCTCCTGCTCACCTCTATCTCCTTCCTCCCTCTCCTCTTCTTCATGTAACTCTGTGAACCTCCCTGGGTGTCCCTCACAGTGGAGAATCTTTTCGCCATTAACCCAGGAGTTTTATTATCGGTGCTGTATAGTTGGAGAAGTCTTGAGACTACTGGAAGAATAAAACTGAAATCCAGAGGCAGGAGACTTAAGCCCAAAACCTGAGAACACCAGAAAACTCCTGACTACAGGGAACATTAATAAGAGACCATCCAAAAGCCTCCATACCTACACTGAAACCAACCACCACCCAAGAGCCAATAAGTTCCAAAGCAAGACATACCACACAAACTCTCCAGGAACACAGCCCTGAGTGTCAACATACAGGCTGCCCAAAGTCACACCTAACACAGACCCATCTCAAAACTCATTACTGGACACTCCATTGCACTTCAGAGAGAAGAAATCCAGTTCCACGCACCAGAACACCGACGCAAGCTTCACTGACCAGGAAACCTTGACAAGCCTATCGTCCAACCCCACCCACTGGGTGAAACCTCCACATTAAAAAGGAACCACAGACCACCAGAACACAGAAAGCCCACTCCAGACACAGCAATCTAAACAGGATAAAAAGGCAGAGAAATACCCAACAGGTAAAGGAACATGAAAAATGCCCACCAAGTCAAACAAAAGAGGAGGAGATAGGGAATCTACCTGAAAAAGAATTTAGAATAATGATAATAAAAATGATCCAAAATCTTGAAAACAAAATAGAGTTACAGATAAATAGCCTGGAGACAAAGATTGAGAAGATGCAAGAAATGTTTAATAAGGACCTAGAAGAAATAAAAAAGAGTCAATTAAAAATGAATAATGCAATAAATGAGATCAAAAACACTCTGGAGGGAACCAACAGTAGAATAACGGAGACAGAAGATAGGATAAGTGAGGTAGAAGATAAAATGGTGGAAATAAATGAAGCAGAGAGGAAAAAAGAATCAAAAGAAATGAGGACAACCTCAGGGACCTCTGGGACAATGTGAAACACCCCAACATTCGAATCACAGGAGTCCCAGGAGAAGAAGACAAAAAGAAAGGCCATGAGAAAATACTCGAGGAGATAATAGCTGAAAACTTCTCTAAAATGGGGAAGGAAATAGCCACCCAAGTCCAAGAAACCCAGAGAGTCCCAAACAGGATAAACCCAAGGCGAAACACCCCAAGACACATATTAATCAAATTAACAAAGATCAAACACAAAGAACATTTCATTTCTCCTTTCTGCTTCACCCACTTAAGAAGGGAAGCTTATCAATCTTCCTAACATCTCTCCTGTTATTTCTCATCTCCCTGATCTTAAATGAAGCTTTATATTCAAACTACTAACATGAATAACTGATTTATCTGCCTCTACTTTCTCTTTTTTATATAATTTTTTTATATTTGTTATGGATCTGTTGGATATGCTTGGGTAAACTATTATTTTTTTACTTGTTTGACATTTTAGTTTTTGGTCCCACTGCGCAGCAGGTATTAGTTCCCCGACCAGGGATCAAACCCATGCCCCCCTGCATTGGGGGGTGCAGTGTCTTAACCACTGGACTGCCAGGGAAATCCGTCTAGTTTCTTCTTTGAAATGTTTATGAATCTCCCAGAAGCACTAAAATACACTTCTTGTCAACCACCCATGTATTCAAAAACATCTTACTTATTACCACTACTTACTAAAGTTCTGACATTTAAAAAAATCACAAATTTTTAAGAGCCAAACTCATCAACTCCTTTGCACCAATTGCAAATAAAGAAACAAAGGAAAGGTTAAAGAACTTGTCTAAAAGTGACATGGCAAGTAGAAGGCTCAGAATCACTATTCCCCCCCTGCCCTCTACCACACACACGCACACACTCATACCTCACACTTGAACACAGCTGACCCATTCAGTACTCTCTAAATATGCTCTGGGTATTGCTCCTAAACATTTTCACTAGCTCTTCCCTCCACCTGGAATACACTTCCCATCCGTAATCATAGAACAGTTAACTACACATCCTTCAGGGCTTAAATCCCACCCACTTTACAAAGTCTTTATTTTACATTTATTTTTGGCTGCACTGAGTCTTCATTGCTACACATGGGCTTTCTCTGGTTGCGGTGAGCAGCAGCTACTCTTCAGTGTGGTGTGCAGGCTTCTCCTGTCACAGAGCATGGACTCTAGAGTGCATGCGCTTTACCAGTTGCAGCGCACAAGCTTCGTTGCTCTGCTGCATGTGGGATCTTCCCGGACCAGGGATCGAACTTGTGTCCCCTGCGCTGGCAGGCAGATTCTTAACCACTGGACCACCAGAATCCTCCCTTTGCAAAGTCCTCCCCAGATTCCCAGTCCACAGTGATACCATCATCTCCAAAAGTCCCGTAAAACTTAGCACTCATGTTTAGCACTTACATACTACTTTGTACTATTTATAGTAGTATATTAAATACTACTTTGTACTAAAATTAACTATAATTCTTCACCTGACATTTCTCTATACTTTATGAACTTGAAAGAATGTCCACATAAATCAGTTCATGCAATAATTCAATATATATTATTCTAGGCTGCAAGTGAGGATACAAAAATG